TTCATTTCGATTGTACCAGAAGGATCTATAAATGTTACATATTCAATGGGTCAGTGGTCTTGTTTGTTTGTTTGTTTGATTTTGTTAGACCACTTTTCAGTGGATATACACAGGGGATACACTTTGCATTAAATATCAACTTTTAATGTTTTGGATTCAAGTTAGCAGCCATGGCCTCCGATTGGCTGAAACAGTAACAGATAGAACTTGAAGTTTATATGGCAAAATTGTTGATACTATGTGTCAGACCTACATATAGAGAATAAAGAAATATGTTGCATTTATAAAATATAATTATAGAACAAGGAGTACTGTTATTTTTGGGATTCAATGACGGTATTAACCTCTGATTTTCTGAGACATTAAAAACAAAAATGGTTGAGAGGCAGCAGGTGGGGGCGTATTACTGTTAGCCTGTGGCTAATACACTCCTCGTTTTAATAATCATCAGATATATTTTTTCATTCAGAATACAGCAACTCCAACATCCCCTAGACGATCTCCACAAAAAAAGAGTAGACCAGTCTGATGATGTAAGTATTCTAATATTGTATTTCATTGTGTAATAAAAGATGAACTATCAAAGCATCAGCCAAACCATACTTCAACTTTTAAAATGAGAATTACGTGGACACCTTGCACGAAAATGAGATAATTAAGTAGTGTTTTCCCTGCTTCACTTATAACATCGGTCTTGCAGAGCCCCAAATTGAAGAGATGTTTTTCTTTTACAGATAACTTCTTACATAATATCTGTTTATTTTGGTCTATTTTTCTTATAGAAAACAAAGCTCCTGGAAAAGTACGATGTTTTTGCATCGGCAGACAGCTTAAGAAAAGCATGTGCGTTGTCTGCCAAGGCAGCAAGGCCAGGATATACCCTGGTCATGAAACTCATGCCAATCCTTTTTAGTGAAAAGGAGATGGCTTTGTCTCGGGGCGTGGGTATTCAGCCGCGGAAAGAAGGAGACCTCCGTCCAGTCCTGGACAAACAAAAGACTTCGGCCATAAAAGGTAAATAACTTAAATCGAAGTTAAATAAATCAATTACTTTCAGAAAATTATATGTTCTGGTATATTTTTTTTTTTGCTAAAAATGAAAAGTAAATTTGATAAAACTCATTACTGGTCGAAATACAATTTTGTCACAAAAAGTCATGTTTTGTCCATTCCAGAGTATACAGTGGCATTCTGTAAGAAGAAATGTCTGGCCCTTCCTACAAACCATGACATGAATGGCGCCATATCTGAGAGGATTAGTTACTCCAGGAAACTCGTTAAGAAATCAAACCTAACTGACTGATACTTGAATTATTGAGTTAGAAATTATAAAACATGTAACAAAACTTAAAAAATTAGAGTTTTTATTTTTGTTAAAGGATATATTGTACATTTGTATCTTACAAACATCTGGTCAGGTCTACGATATCTGAAATTTGCAAAGACCATTTTCTATGACATTTCATGAGTTACTATCACACACTGAAGGCTGATCATTTTATAAATAGCTATATGTTAATATGAAGTATTGACAACACTGTTAACTCATGATTGTTTTAAAATTATTCTTAATATGTGGCAATCTGTTTTAAGTTACTATTTGTCCACCTGGATTTATAAATCCGTGTGGGTTTATATCCGTGCGGGTTTTGATTTTAAGCAGTCGGTTTAGTAAAATCTGACTGAACATGGATTTTCTGGTAGACCAATTTTATCCCCAGGCTGATTTTCTATATTTGGGATATCCGCCCGGACTCATTTAAATATTACGTGTCACTTTTCCAGCAGGAATTTAAAATCCGCCTGGATTTTCGAATCCACCTGGATTTTTACAGACACGGAATCCTATTGTCACATGGACATGGATTTTATTAATCCGCATGGATTTTTTTCCTGGCGAATTTTCCATGCGTATTCCGTGTCTACTTTTTCGTAAAGGATATAATGTCAAAATGGGTAAGGTGGGTTAAAAGACAGTCTTTACAGTACAGCAGGCTGCTGCCACTTTCTCACCTTCTTTGGAGCCATCGGTGTAAAGTTGTGTATGAGAAGGGTAATTCGAAATGCATTCCCGAAAGGAGGATTTGTGTTCTTCGGGCATAACACTTGATTTCCCTCGCTCATGTAATGTAAAGTTAAAATCCGGGGTTCGAATGGTCCTTGGAGGAACATCAGATATGTTAAATTCAGCTATGTCCGTCAATTTTATGCTGGGTTCTTGCAGGAAATTCAAAATTTGGATACCAAATGTTGGCAGAAGTTTTTGGTTTTGCGTAAATATGTTTTGGTATTTGGGGTTGAATACTTGGTTGAAAGCAGGATTTTTAGGGTTTGATTTTAATTGAGCTGCAAATTGTAATGAAAGTTTTTTTCTTCTGTCATAATGGGATGGTTCATTTGCTTCCACGTACAGGCTTTTTACAGGTATTGTTCGAAAAGCTCCAAGGGCTAGACGTAGCCCTTGGTTATGGATTGGGTCTAGCATCTGAAGCTACGAACTGCGCGCAAACCCGTATACCATAGAACCATAATCCAGTTTTGTTCGAATAAGTGATCTGTATAGGCGCAAAAGCATTTCCCGATCCGCTCCCCAATCAGTATGAGAAAGGACTCGTATAATGTTTAACGCCTTGGAACACTTATCCTTCAGATACTTTATATGTGGTATGAAAGAGAGTTTCGAATCAAAAATGAGGCCGAGAAATTTAGTCTGTTCAACAACAGGAATTCTAGTGCCATCGAGTGTTAGATTTGGGTCATTGTGTGCTTTTCGTTTTTGACAGAAATGCATGCACACAGTTTTGGATTTAGAGAATTTGAAGCCGTTTTCGTCTGCCCAATTTTGTAGTTTGTTTAAACTCTGTTGAAGTTGTCGTTCTATCGTGTGCATGTTCTTAGATCTGTAACAGATCAAGAAGTCATCCACAAATAACGACCCTTCTGTTGATTGACCAAGACATTTGACTATATCATTTATTTTAAGTCCAAACAGTGTGACTGATAGGATTCCACCCTGTGGGACTCCCATTTCCTGTTTAGACGTTTCAGAAAAAGTTGAACCAACACGGACTTTGAAGTGTCTATCTGATAGGTAATTAGATATAAAATTGGGAAGGTTTCCACGTACGCCAAGGTCGTGAAGATCTTTCATGATGCCATACTGCCATGTAGTATCATAGGCCTTCTCAAGATCGAAGAACACAGCGACAAGGTGTTCTTTCTTGGCGAAAGCCTCTCGAATGAACGTCTCTAATCTGATGAGATGGTCATTTGTCCCTCTTCTATTTCTAAAGCCACTTTGAAGAGGGGATATTATATCGTTGGCCTCAAGAAACCAAACCAGTCTAGTGTTTATCATTCGTTCTAAAGTTTTACATACACAACTAGTCAGAGAGATAGGACGATAGTTGTTTGGGTCAGTAGCATCCTTTCCCGGTTTTGGGATAGGTATAATTGTGGAGTTCTTCCACGAATCGGGAATCTTTCCGGAAGCGTAAACTTGGTTGAATATGTAAAGAAGGCATGTTAGTGAAGAGTCCGGTAAGTGCTTTAGAAATTGATATGGAATATCATCAGGACCTGAAGCAGTGTCCTGTGATTTTCTAAGCGAATCAACAAGTTCTGGTAGGGTAAATTGTTCATTATAACTTTCTTTGTTTGATGATTTGAAATTGAGCCGTTTCTTTTCTCTCTTTTTTTTCAAAGACTGGAATTTTTGGGAGTGGTTTAAAGGGGATGAGTTTTTAGCTATGTTTTTTGCAAATGCATCAGCAATTTCAGTTATAGACGAGAAAATTTTGTTTTTATTAATGAGGTGGGAGGATGTTGCCTTTTTCTTTTTCCCACTTATTTTCCGAATCATATCCCATACTTTTTTTGAGGACGTGTTTGATGATATCTTGGATACATATTCTCTCCAGCTGTTTCTTTTGTCAATTTTAATTGATCGCCGAGCCTTTGCCCGCCAAATTTTAAATTCACTGTAGTTTGAAGCAGTTGGGCAATTGAAGTAGCGTCTTAGAGCAGCTGCCCGATTACTGCGTGTTTTAAAAGATTCTTCAGATAAAAGGAACTTCGTAGGTTTTGGAACGGATTTTGGAATTGTCTTTTGGGCAATAGAAGTGAGTGTTTCAGTAAAAGTTTTGATAGGGTCGTCGAGGTTAGTAAATTTGTCTATGGTTAGTTTTTCAATGCACATGTGATGGAATTGGGCCCAATCTGCTTTGTGCATATTCCATCGAGGTAGAGGATCATCAAGAGGAGTCCCAATATTCTTAAGTCAAGGTCATTCATTTGAACAAACTTGGTACAATATCAGTACCCTGAGCCTTTTGGTTATTGAGCAGTCGTTTGAAGATTGTAGGACATTTGACCTATGTGACCTTGAAAGTGGGTCAATGTCATTCATTTGTACAGACTTGGCAATTCTTCATCCCACATTCTTCATGCTACAGGCCCAATATCAGTACCCTTGGCATTTTGGTTATTGAGGTTAAGTTGCTTGAAGTTTTAAATACATTTGTTTGTTTGTTTATTTGATTTTGTTTAACGTCCTATTAACAGCTATGGTCATTTAAGGACGGCCTCCTCTGTGTGCAAAATGCATGTGTGTGTATTTTGGGAGGCTGCGATATGTTCGTGTTTGTCTCCTTGTGATAGCGCAGAATTGGTGCCGAATTTATAGTGCTACCTCACTGAAACATACTGCCGAAAACACAGCAGGACGCCCCACCCGGTCACATTATACTGACAACGGGCGAACCAGTCGTCCCACTCCTAATTTGCTGAGGGTTAAGCAGGAGTAGAAACTACCATTTTTAAAGTCTTTGGTATGTCTCGGCCCAATCTGATTAAAATCATCGGTTACATGGCTCCGCCTGAATATCTGAATGTGCCGCGGTCAGGGTCACGTTCAGGTGACCTTTATATTTATAAATACTCATTAAATTTTGACCAATCAGAGACCTTCTTTCAAAAGGGCGGTCGAAGTTGTAACAAATATGGCGGACATTAATGAAAGTGAAGCGATTGCGAAAGTTCTGAAGTTATTTGAGATTGATCGTCTGAAACCCGAACAGAAAAAGATACTCGAAGCATTATTAGAGAAGAAAGACTGTATGGCGGTGTTGCCTACTGGATATGGGAAGTCGTTGCCTTTCCAGATGCTTGTCTCCTTGAAACGCGAGATGGGAGACCGAGACAGCAAAATCATCGTTTGTTCACCCTTGGTAGCGTTGATGCGTGATCAGTGTGAGCGGTTGAAGAATATTCCGGGAATCAAGGCAGAATATAAATGTTTGTTAGACTAAATTTACAATTATCCTATCAAAGACATAGATCGTTTCAAATCTTAAACGTAAACGGCCGACGTAAACATGTATCGTCCGTGTACAAGCGGTTGTACATGTATATCAGTCATAAACAGATGACCAAATGGTATTTGAGAATTTTTTGATGAACGTTTTGATGAGATTACCAAACGCAAGTTAAAATTCGTTGTACATTTCTCTGCAATATGCAGTGACCACCGCCCCCCACCCCCTACATGTTCGTAGCTATCATTAAATTGAACATTTATTAAATGTAAATCTTTGCTTAAATTTACATCCAACATCCATATTTTCACTGATTTCATAAACTCCCAAGATGTGTTAATGATGGTATTCGCGGTGTTGTTCAAGCGATTCAATGTATTAAGTACTAGGCCTACATTCCATTCAATTTCACATGGAATGCAGTATAAAGATATTACTCTACAACAGACTACCAATATCATCCGAGGAATGAAGTGATATAATAACAAAAACATTAGTTCATTTAAACCTTATTTTCTGATGAAAAATAGCAGTTTTGATTAATGTTTTTGTTGTGACTTTTTTACTATACAAAATTATTTACATATGATATAATAATGTATTCTACTTCATTTATATACAACAGGCAGAAGTGCAGAGGGAGATCTTAACATAGAAAAAGGACAATTTGACTACCTGTATGCCTCGCCAGAAGCCCTTGTTGGGGACAAGAACTGGAGTTACAAATTGAAGGAATTTTCTGTGTCAACAATTGTAGTTGATGAATTCCACACTATTTCAACCTGGTAAGTTGAAGTTCCAATTTCAATAAGATGTGTTTAATGGCTATATTAACTATGTACAATGCACTATTATAATCATCTCATATATATAAATATCTTTTTCAAAATTCTTGTAATTTTTAAATACATGGATGGATATGAGTGGACAGTTTATGTATGGTCGTAGTTCAAGTGATAGGAAATATGTTACTATTTAATAAAAGCTTTAAATGTGTGACCATTTCACAATTATATACGTATATGTGATACATCACATGTAGTGTGCTAACATGCACAATTAAATTAAATACAAAAGAGCCAGACTTGATCCCTGTGTTCCAAGTTCTTAACAGAAGCTTTTATCAGTAAATTTAAAGCAACATTGCTACCGTTAGTCAACCGGCCCAGTCCCTCTAGATCTATAAATATTCATTTTAACAAATTCAGTCAAGTTAAATGTATTGTTACAGGGGTGAAAACAAGGAAGAAGACAAAAAGGCATTTCGGAAATGGTTTTCGTACATTGGTGAAGTTAGATCTTTGTTTCCGGATGCATCAATGTTGGCTCCGAGTGCTACTTGCACCAAGAAAATTTCTAGGCGAGTGTCCAAAGTGCTACAGATGGATGATGACTTGGTTGAAATTAGAATTTCTCCAAACAAGCCGAACATTAAGTTGGTAGTAAGAAAAATACCAAATACAGTAGAGATGTCTATGGTTTGGATGATAGATGCCCTTTGTGAGGAAACCTTTCCCAGAACAATCGTTTATTGTTCTACTATTAAAGCAACAGCTAACATTTATAGCTATATTGTCACTGAAAAACCTGAAGCTGTCAGCTCAGTGGAAATGTTTCATTCTGAAACGCCCGACGACAAAAAGCAAAAAGTTCTGGAGTCTTTAAAAAATCCTGGCAGTAGTTTGAAACTTTTAGTGGCAACAAGTGCTCTTGGTATGGGTGTTGATTTTGTAAATGTTTACAATGTGATTGTATACGGTGCACCAAAGAGCTTAGTAGATCTCATACAGGAGAAAGGCCGTGTTGGACGTGATGGTAAGGATTCTGTGGCCCTTTTGTTGGTCAATTCTTACCACTTGCGAGATGTCAACACCGAGGTGAAGGACATGTTCAAAACCGAAGAGTGCCGTCGAGTTGCAATGCTGACACCTTTTCTGACAGAGTTGGAGCTAACAGAAATCAGAAAGCAAAAGGGACTTCATTCTTGTTGTGATTTGTGTGCAGTTAGTTGTTCATGTAGTGCATGCACATCTTCCTTCATTGAGAAACTTATTTATTTCATCAGTGCTGATGATGCTGATGACAAGTCTTCAGATGAAGACACAGAATCATCATATACATATGATCCATTTGACTACGAAGATGATTTAGATCTGTCTTTAGTCCCTGATCTGGATTTAAATGTGGAGTGACTATTGCATGAAATTATGTATGTACTTGTATGTATATATATATATATATGTACATGTGTGTGTGTTTTATTTTGGTGTTATGAACTCTGATACACATACATGTGTCAAACTAAAAAACAACAGGGTAATCATATGAGTAGACATTCTTCATTCATCTTGCATTTGCAGCAACACATCTTATTAACAAACCTGATAGATTATTTGTAAAATTCTTCAATTTTAACCCTATTTGTTTTTCTTGACTTGATCAACTTGTTTGACCATAAAGTTTAATTTTATCAAACAAGTTTTAGTTTACAGGCTAGGATTCTAAAAAAGAGGACATGAAATAAAAGTTCAAAATACTGTCTGAAGAAATCTGACTGAAGAACTAATTACATTATCTGACTGAAGAACTAATTACATCATGCATTTAGTCTCTCTTGGACAAAAGTCTGAAATATGAATTATGTCAACACGGCACGAATGTTGTAACATCTTTGAATTGCTGTACATTCAGAGGAGTCTAACAATTATGTCAAAATATACACTGCAATGAATGTGGTAACATCTTTGAATTACTGTACATTCAGGGGGGTCCAATGCAATAGCTTATTTGATCTTCAGTACTGGAATTGTATACAAAATTTGGGATATATCCTGCTATAAATTCAGTCATAACTTATATAACTATTACCTCCAAAAAATTCATAAGCCTGTGAAAATCCTCTATTTTCGAAATAAAGCCTTCCAGTCTTTCAGCAGACGTCCCTCCATTAAGCATTGCCAGTTGAGCAGCCTGAAACCTGCTTCGAAAAGATGCGAGAACACTTTTGCAAACACCAAGGATGGTTCAGGTGGAGAAGAAATGTGGTGGAAAATACACATATATTGGAATACGCAAGATACTACCTCAAATTTCAACAATTTGCTTGTTAACATGGATGGAATCCCTTTGTTTAAATCTTCTGGAACACTATTCTGGCCAATCATATGTAGTTTTAGTAATTGCAGTCCATTTTTGGTAGCCCTGTCCTTAGGAGAGAGCAAGCCAAATTCACTTGATGATTTCTTGCGAGATTTTTGGATGAATATAGGGAACTTAAACAAAACGAATTGGTGTTTGAGGATAAAATATTCTTTGTTGACATAAAAACCTTTGTTTGTGATGCCCCTGCCAGAGCATTTCTAAAATACGTCAAAGGACACACTGCGTATTATGCATGTGAAAGGTGTATAGTTAAAGGCACTTGGAAAAGTAACACTTTTCATGGTGATTTTCCACTTCGATCAGATGAGGTATCTCCTCTTTCAGCATCTGGTATCAAATGTGTAACAGGGTTTTGTTTAAACTACATACCTATTTGTTTTTCTTGACTTGATCAACTTGTTTGACCATAAAGTTTAATTTTATCAAACAAGTTTTAGTTTACAGGCTAGGATTCTAAAAAAGAGGACATGAAATAAAAGTTCAAAATACTGTCTGAAGAAATCTGACATGTTAGTTGATTTATAGGTGTCTACTTATACTGGACTAATTATAACTTAGTGGTTTTATTGTCTGACAACTGGTACACGTGAATGGAACATTATGTGATTCAGTTAAATTACTTGTATATAATGTTATATTGAATAAACAATATTAACTAGTGTTTCAAAAAGCTGAGGATGATATTACTTCAGTCATATATATATATATGAATCATGATAATACCCACGCCAACTACAAATAATGAACTATTCTCACACATCAGTATCCTTCATCTAAATGAATTGTTTTGATCTTATTAAGATAATGTGATTGATCACTTAAATATCCTCGAGATAATCTGTAGCATGCATGATCTATCAATATAATGGAAGCTAGTTGTACTTTAATTTAGTCTTTTATTTTTGACAGAACAAATGCCAAAAATACAACATCCTTAAACACGATAGAGTCTCCTATAAGAGTGCATGTGGGATTGCCTGAAGAACTAATTACATCATGCATTTAGTCTCTCTTGGACAAAAGTCTGAAATATGAATTATGTCAACTCGGCACGAATGTTGTAACATCTTTGAATTGCTGCACATTCAGAGGAGTCTAACAATTATGTCAAAATATACACTGCAATGATTGTGGTAACATCTTTGAATTACTGTACATTCAGGGGGGTCCAATGCAATAGCTTATTTGATCTTCAGTACTGGAACTGCATGTGTGAAATGGTACTGCTCATATTCGTTTGTTACGCAGTCTGTGGTAGGCAACTATTGGCTTGTGTCTATGAATGAGTGTTCCAAGACCTCGAAAGCTACTGTCATAAAATCTTTCATCTGCTGAAAGTGCTTTACACCGAAGCTGTCTTCCACGTTCACAAGAAAATGCACCAGTGTCTGCTAATTCCACAGCAACTTTCCTGACATCTTCACTGTAAGAGGGAAGGTGATGAAACCCTTTACGTTTTGACACAGCACAGAAATCATCATAATGCTGAACATAATTGATGATGTGAGGGAACTCTTTGGAATGTGCCAGAATACTTTCTTTCGTCTGAAAACCTGACAACATGTCTTTGCTTTCTCTGTTTAACAACTCCACATACTCGTCCAGTGCCATGTTGTTGTTCTTCCCTCCTTGCAAGTTAATGAATCTGTTTGCTGTTAGTCTGTCTTTTTGGTCTTTGTTCAAAATGCAAGTGCTTTCAGTAAGTGAAATTAGATGAATCGATCCAATAGCATACTTTGTTTTGTTTGTTATGTTATAGATAGGTAATTCGTATTTTGCTGACCGTACTGAACGTTCTCCATCTGCCATATCAACAGCAGTATCAAGATTTTTGTGTAGCAATGCAAGCTTGACGAGCAGTAGACAGTAGTTTCGGAATTGATCCTCATCTGTTTGTGATTTGCTTTTTGCTTTGGTCTGTGGAATTTCTGCATTGTGAATTTTCTCTTCGTGAACTTTGAGTGATCCGACATATGCATATGTCTTGTCACAAAAGTGACATTTCACGCGACCGTCCTCCAAATGTGATGTCCAATAGTTTTCAGGATGACTTGGGTCTGCTAATATCTCTCTGAGTTGTCTGAAAATGTCGGTGTCTGAATCAAAGAAATGCTTCCTTAATAGTGATCTACAAATTTCATTCATCCAGGAAATCTTTTCGTTTTCAGAATAAAGTGCAAAGTTTTCGGGGAACTGGATTACTTCTTCAAAATCACTCAGTCCAAATTCATTGAGAAATGACAGACAACACATAGCATCTAAAATTGTGTAGTACAGTAGTTTATAGGCTCTGTAATGATTCCGGACATCTCCTTTGACATTTCTGGCATTTAGCACATTTCGGAAGTAATAGGCCGATACCCGATCCCTTCCTGATTCAGTGCTATAGGTCAGTTTGCAGATGGCCTGTAAAACAAGAGGCCCAATGGGCCTGCATCGCTCACCTGGTATAAAACTGTCACTTGTAACCTTAAAAGTGATCTAAAATAAAGCTACAGGCAAAATATCAATATTTATGATTAAAATTCGTATAAAAGGCCCTGTTAATTTTTTTTAAAACATTTCACCCCTGTGATTTAAAGTCGAACCAAGTCATTATGGTGAACACATTGTATAGCCTTTCATCTCAGGATGCAACTTGCAAAGAATAAACATCCTGGGACCCATGGTTATTCATAAGAGGATGTTTAAAGATTTTAAACAAATTTGACCCCTGTGACCTTGAATATAAGTCAAAGTCATTCCCTTTAACAAAGTAGTCCTTGATCCCAGCATATGCTACGGACTAAATATCAACATCCTGAGCCTTTTGGTTATTCAGAACAAGTTGTTGAAATATTGTAAACATATTTGCTCCTTGTGACCTTGAATATGATTCAAGGTCAAACATTTTAACAAACTTGGAAGCCCTTGATCCTAGTATGCTACTGACTAAATATCAACATCCTGAGCCTTTTGGTTATTCAGAACAAGTTGTTGAAATATTGTAAACATATTTGCTCCTTGTGACCTTGAATATGATTCAAGGTCAAACATTTTAACAAACTTGGTAGCCCTTGATCCTAGTATGCTACTGACTAAATATCAACATCCTGAGCCTTTTGGTTATTCAGAACAAGTTGTTGAAATATTGTAAACATATTTGCTCCTTGTGACCTTGAATATGATTCAAGGTCAAACATTTTAACAAACTTGGTAGCCCTTGATCCTAGTATGCTACTGACTAAATTTCATCACCCAGGGCATTTTGGTTATTCAGAAGAAGCTATTTAAAGGTTTTTTAAGACAATTGACCCCTGTGACCTTGAATATGGCTGAAGGTCATTCATTTGAACAAACTTTGTAGCCCTCCATCTCAGCTAGCTACTGACCAAATATCATCTCCCTGGGCAGTTTGGTTATTCGGAAGAAGCTGTTTAAAATTTTTAACATTTGACCCCTGTGACCTTGAACATGGGTGAAGGTCATTCATTTGAACAAACTTTGTAGCCCTTTATCTCAGCATGCTACTGGCCAAATATCATTACCCTGGGCATTTTGGTTATTCGGAAGAAGTTGTTTAAATTTTTTAACATCTTTGACCCCTGTGACCTTGAACATGGGTGAAGGTCATTCATTTAAACAAACTTTGTAGCCCTTCATCTCATCTAGCTACTGACCAAATATCATCTCCCTGAGCAGTTTGGTTATTCGGAAGACGTTGTTTAAAATTTTTAACATTTGACCCCTGTGACCTTGAAAATAGATGAAGGTCATTTATTTGAACAAACTTTGTAGCCCTCCATCTCAGCTAGCTACTGACCAAATATCATCACCCTGGGATGCCCTGCAGGTAGGGCGTAAGAATTGTACCTGCTGCCCCCAATTGCATGATCGTAAGAGGCGACTAAATTTGGGACCTTATCGCTTCTCTCCTTTCTAAATAACTTTCTTTTTCCTAATGTCTCCCTTGACAATGCCTCACTTTTTGCCATTTGTTGAGCGTTCGCCCCTGCGAGGAAGGCTTTGGGTTCTGTCCCCTGGCCGAGACATACCAAAGGCTTTAAAAATGGCAGTTTCTACTCCTGCTTAACGCTCAGCAAATTAGGAGTGGGACGACTGGTTCGCCCGTTGTCAGTATAATGTGACCGGGAGGGGCGTCCTGCTGGGTGTCTTCGGCAGTATGTTTCAGTGAGGTAGCACTATAAAGTCGGCATCAGTTCCGCGCTATTACAAGAAGACAAACACGAACATCTCGCAGCCTCCCAAAATACACACACAGACACTACATGCATGCATCTTGCACACAGGGGAGGCAGTCCTTAAATGACCTTAGCTGTAAATAGGACGTTAAACAAAATCAAACAAACAAACAAACAAATCATCACCCTGGGCATTTTGGTTATTCGAAAGAAGTTGTTTAAAGTTTTTAACATATTTGACCCCTGTGACCTTAAAGATGGGTGAAGGTCATTCATTTAAACAAACTTTGTAGCCCTTCATCTCAGCTAGCTACTGACCAAATATCATCTCCCTGGGCAGTTTGGTTATTCGGAAGAAGTTGTTTAAAATTTTTAACATTTGACCCCTGTGACCTTGAATATGGGAGAAGGTCATTCATTTGAACAAACTTTGTAGCCCTTCATCTCAGCATGTTACTGGCCAAATATCATCACCCTGGGCATTTTGGTTATTCAGAAGAAGTTATTTAAAGGTTTTTTAAGACAATTGACCTCTGTGACCTTGAATATAATTGAAATTCATTCATTTGAACAAACTTGGTAGCTCTTTACCCTAGCATGCTAGTAGCAAAATATCATCCCCCTGGGCAGTTTGGTTATTGAGAAGAAGTTGTTTAAAGTTTTTAACATATTTGATCCCTGTGACCTTGAAAATAGATGAAGGTCATTTATTTGAACAAAATTGGTAGCCCTTCATCCCAGTTTGCTTCTGGCCAAATATCATCACCCTAGGCCTTTCTGTTATTAAGAAGAAGTCGTTTAAAGTAAAATATTGACGCCGGACGACGGCCGGACAGACGGACGGACGGACGACGGCCGCCGCACCAAGGCATAAGCTCACTTGGCACTTCGTGACAGGTGAGCTAAAAATAATGGGTACTTCAATGATCTGCTGTAATACAAATCAATTAGGGTACATGTGTATATACTAAAATGTAACATTACACAAAGGTAAACAAAACATACCTGTATTAATACCAACTTCAGTACTTTCTAATTTTTATATACCTTATTTTTTACTGCACAGTGTATGTACTGGTCCATCATGGTGACAGAGCCTGTATCTTACCATTACTGATCTTGTGAGCAATTTGATTGATTCTGTATATCAAATCAAGACACCGTATAAAGGTTAATACAAAAGTTGTTTTAACCAAGCATATTTAATGATGACTTTGATATTGATTCATATGATATGAATATGTTTTTATGACCGAAATGTTAACCTCATACAGAATTGTATACAAAATTTGGGATATATCCTGCTATAAATTCAGTCATAACTTATATAATTATTACCTCCAAAAAATTCATAAGCCTGTGAAAATCCTCTATTTTCGAAATAAAGCCTTCCAGTCTTTCAGCAGACGTCCCTCCATTAAGCATTGCCAGTTGAGCAGCCTGAAACCTTTCATCTGTTAAGCGATCCCCTTTAAAAAAAGAAACTTTTCTGTTCATGTATGTGAACAAATTTGAATCAGAAATAATTATCATCAGAAATGTGTTTTATTACATGGACATCATATATGAAATAGGCAAAAGAATTTATACAGGCATGAAATAAAAAGAACTGAACATGTACTACCATTTATTACCAATGTATGTCAGTGTTTGTTTTATCAAAGTAAATACTGCCAATTATTTCATTGTAATTCACTGTGCTATAATTATACTATAAGTCATTTTGCTATGGTGTGCTTCTAGTATAGTTCAATGTGTTATACAGTACTTCTAGGATATTTGTCATTGTATTATACCTTGCATTGCTAAACTGTATTATAACCTATAACATATTGTAGTGTATTATACATGTAGTCTTTTGTTGCTGTACTGTAGTGATTGTATGTTGCATTATGTTATACTCAATTGTGTCATTTGCTGTAGCCCTAGGGTTGTCATTGTAGTACTGTACATTTATATATATGGTGTATTTAATAGACATTTGCTGTACTGTGTATATCATTGTATCATACGATATCATCTACTCTACAATGTGTCCAATGTGTCACGAAACACAGGAAATAAAAGTAATCTAAACCTGAATCTTGACTTTGTTTCACTTTACCAATCATACGATATCACCTACTCTACAATGTGTCCAGAAACACAGGAAATAAAAGTAATCTAAACCTGAATCTTGACTTTGTTTCACTTTACCAAAACAGAGCAGAACATTTCGCAGGGAGCATAATAAGTTGTAAAAAGAAAAGATAAAGAAAGATTAGTCACTAGAAAATACCTCCAAAGAAAACTGGTTCAACAATCTGTTCATCATTGCAGGGAACATACTTGGCTTGAAGTTCCTTTAGTAGTTTTATTAGTTCTGTTGTCTTCGTCTCATTACAATCAAACAAGCCTAGTGGGAACTACAAAGGAAAACATTACTATGATTATGATTCATTTGCTAGTTGCCACTTCTATATAATTTATTGGAGAAAAAACCCAATCATCAACACAATCTGATTAAAATCATCTGTTAAATGGCTCCATAGGTAACAAAGCATGAAATATCAACAGATCCATACTTTCATCATTTAAAACGTATACTGATGCAACTTGATCTTATATGAAATTATCAGATCACTGACTTTGGTTCAATCTGATTAAAATCATGCTATTTTATAGAGTCAAGCAAAGTACAAATATTCAATTACTTGAGTGAAAAATCCATTTAACAGACTGTTTTATTCAACCTGAAAATACGGTACATGTACATGTTTTTTTTTCTTTTTCTAAACAACTATCTTACCTGTTTTGTCTTGGTTCCTGCATGGTGACTATTCTTGTGGTCAAAGTGTTTGGGATAAAACTTGAATATTTTTTTCAGCTGTGGGATGTTTTCTATTACAGCTGTTGCTACAAGGAAAACTAGTTCATCCATCAACTTGTCTTGTCGAGAACTGATGGAATGAAGTTCACAACATCTAAGTCATCATTCATTGATCCACCATTTTCATCATCCAAATTCGCAGATATTGCTGGAATTCTATCAACAACAACTATGACGTTGAATAGATGTAGTGATGTCGTCTTCTGCTGTGAAGTCCTGTAAAATAAATACAACTTTATAAATAGCTCTAAAATGAAATGCAAAACAGTTACTTTACATACAAATTCACTGACTCTGTAACCTTATGAGAGACATAAACAATAAAACATTTTCCAGTTATAAGAATGAATGGGTCACTCATATTTTGAATTTCAAATAAAATGCATGGATCAATTCATTTTTCTGGCCACAATATTTAAATACTTTAAATTTACCTGAAGTTTTAAATCCTAAATTAGTCTACTTGAGTCAATTTGAGATTTATATTTGAGCTTGAGACAAACTCAAGTTGTTTAAGATATTGGGACCTGTTGGAGACAACAAAGTATACATGTACACGTACATGGGACTGATCATTGTCAATCCAGTAGTATACATGTATATGATGCGTTTTTACCTGTAAGATGGCAAAATATTATTGTCCCAGTTGTCACCCACTAGCTGGTATTTCGTCTCGCTCCCTTGTTCCCAGTCATTATTTAGCTTCATTACTTCTTCGTCCAAGTTCTCCTTCCATGAGGCAAGTTTGTTATGGACTGTACTTGAATAAACACAAAGCCCCATCTTGCAGTCTCTCAATGTCCTGGAATTTCAAATAAAAATATCATGTCTATAGACACGTATAGATATGTGTGAGTGCATGTAAGGCTATGTTTTCATTGATAATACATTATTTAATAATGAACCTAATTTAACACCCATCTTGTAATCATTTATAGATATGCTTTGAAATTAAGACTACCATGTATGATGTTATAATTCATACAAAGACAAAATTTTACAATATCCAGTATGGGATAGAAGCTTGTTACCATCATGATTGCCTACAAAGGTAAAATAACACTTTATGATACATTTTAAAGCTGAATTTCATAATGAATTTTACCTTATCCATTTTGCAGATTACAATCTGATGTCCATTAATAGTTAATATCTATAAATGATTTAAAATGGAATTCAAAAACAAATTTACATTTAATCAAATTACTGCAAAAAGTTATGATACTGCCATAAAATGTTTTCAGAATTGAAAACTTTTTACTATCTGCCTGCAGAATACTTAATAGAAAGAAGTCATGTAACTTCATTTGGCCCCCCACCCCCACCCCACACACCCCCTGGGGTGGGGGGTGGGAGGTTAATAATTTTATTATTCCATCCCCCCTTGCCACATCGCCGCCACTAAATATATGTATTGTTCAATAATTAATACAGAAATATATATATATACATGTTAATCAATACCCTCAGTGTGCATCCTCCATGAAGTAATATCATAGCAATGCCATAATGAAGACCTGACATTTCATTGTTTCTCCCATGCAGTCCAGATGCTACTGTGTGCAAAATATGCATAAATTTCTTTTCCTTTGGAGGAACAGGAATGTCACTTACAATCGATGACACCACTTTCAAAATGTTGGGAGCACGGATTTCCAGTTCCTTGTGAAAATCATTCCATGTAAATGTCATCAGATCTCTGTTGTCTTTTTTTTGAAGAACAGATCCAGAGTAGCGCTTGCACAAGTCTTTCGACTCCATTGAGATCACCTTTGTTGCTGCATTAACAACATCCCCTGGGTGTGACTTCACAAGTATATCTAATGTAGACTTTTCAACATTTTCAGACTTGAAAATAGCCTTGCATATTTTCTTGTAATTTTCATGAACAACTAATTCAGTTTTTTCCCACTTGGATAAGATATAGTTATCTGAAAATAAAAATTATACACTTGTTAACTTCACTTTTTACTTAAAAAGTTAAAGTTATACTTGGTAATCAAATAAATTATACCCATATTCATTTAACATTTTCTCTACAAATTGACTTTACATTCAGTTATTATGTATTTATTATTTTTAATTCCACAAATTAAAGTTGCATTCAGTTATAAACTAAATAAATCATTATCAAATAATATAATAACAAAGTAATTACATTTCTCTTCTAATGTATAATCTTTATGATAAAAAGGTGTAATGTAGTTTACCTACAGAAAACTGTTAGATATAATTTTTTACCATTTAAGTTTGATATTTATCATAGTATACCTTTCATGATTGAAGAAGGAATCAGCCTCTAATTAACTCACTTAATCTGCAAGAGATTGTTTCAAACAACATGCTCATAATCTGCAAATAAAAATTAACAAAATGTAACAACAGAAATCTTCCATACACACACTGATACACTGTTTACATTGTACCAGGTATAAATGTATGCTTTTCATTTACATTATTATTACTGTTTTCTGAATAATATGCCTGATGATTTTAATCATGTCTATGATACTGAAGAACAAATTTCAATCTGATTGCAAGAAATTCCAATGCTATGTTTCTATGTTTTACTTGTACAGAAGATTTCTACAAGTTCAATTAATATGAGTATACAAATGCAAATGCAAGAAATGGCATAGCTTCAGACATCAAGTTGATTAATTATGTACAATAAATGTTCATTTGCATGTATTTACTCAAACACAAGGAACCAACAAATAAGAAAACCAATCATTTGAATTCAATGAGGAGTAGTTCAATAATCTTTTCTACAAATTGTTGATGATTGTTTGACTGCATGTATCTACACTATGTAAAATATACCTCAGTGAGTTTGAAATGTACTTATGTCAAGTTTGCAAAGAAATATTATTTACAATTTAATTTGCAAACATTTTCATGAAAAAAGATATACACAACACACACACATATATATATATATATATATGTGTGTGTGTGTATCAATTTATATACATTGTATTGCACATTTCAAAATCACCTTAAACAATTTGACTAATAAAAACTGGGATGCAAATTTGAGAAAAGAAATTCAACACCTTGGTTAAGATTTAATTTCCTTCCCACCCCTACCCACTAAAAAAAACTATCCAGTAATTAGTTAATGTCAGGTTATACATTTCAATTAGAGTGTATCAGTTTTAGTACACATATAGTTCATTTCAGTGTTTAGAAACAGGAAATGAAGTTCAAAAGTAAAAACTCAAAATTTACACAACAAACCACATAAGCTTGTTTTGACCAACAGACAATAAGTGAAGATGAAGATGACTATGACATTGTATTGTATGACAACCACTACATTTTCATACAATATATCATAAACATCTACTTTAATATTGACTGAAACAAGTTCCTGCGTACAAAACCATGTATGATGTCAAATAGTTTATAAAGCAAGCTGCAGCCCCACCCACAGATGCTGTGCAGATAACTACATACATATGTACATTGCAGTACTCTACCACTACTAATAAACAACATACATGTACATATATATGTGTTAATGCAGAGGAGCCCAAAGTTCTGTAAAAAATTAACAATAACAGTACGGTAGGGCTATTTACCTCAACCTCGCCATGATACTCCGGGGGAGTCGTCTCGAATGATGTCCCAAGGGATCGTCTGACAGGTTTCACGACAGGTTTCACACTTTCAGCAGAAGGATGAATATTTTCAGACGCGGCATTTCTGTCATCGTCTTCTTTTGGACATTTGCAGCGGGACTTTTCATACCCCTTTTTAGCTCACCTGGCCCGAAGGGCCAAGTGAGCTTATGGTATGGGGCGGCGTCCGTAGTCCGTCCGGCGTCAACATTTTACTTTAAACAACTTCTTCTCAGTAACCATAAGGCCTAGGGTGATGATATTTCGCCAGAAGCATGCTTGGATGAAGGGCTACCAAGTTTGTTCAAATAAATGACCTTCATCAAATTTTCAAGGTCACTGGGGTCAAATATGTTAAAATCTTAACCAACTTCTTCTGAATAACCAAGAGGCCTAGGATGATGATATTTGGCCAGGTTTATGCTGGGATGAAGGGCTACCAAGTTTGTTTAAATAACTGACCTTGACTTATATCCAAGGTCACAGGGGTCAAATATGTTAAAAACATTAAACAACTTCTTCTGAAAAACCAAGAGGCCTAGGGTGATAATATTAGACTAGTAACATGCTTGGATGTAGGGCTGCCAGGATTTTTCAAATAAATGACCTTGACTTATATTCAAGGTCACAGGGGTCAAATATGTTAAAACATTTAAACAATTTCTTCTGAATAACCAAGAGGCCTGGGGTGATGATAGTTGTCCAGTAACATGCTGGGATGAAGGGCTACCAAGTTTGTTCAAAGAAATGACATTGACCCACTTTCAAGGTCGCAGGGGTCAAATATGTTTTAAACATTTAAACAACATCTTCTGAATAACCGAGAGGCCTAGGGTGATGATATTTGGCTAGTAGCATGCTGGGATGGAGGGCTATAAAGTTTGTTCAAATGAATGACCATGTTTTTTCAAGGTCACAGGGTCAAATATGTTCTTAACCTTTAAACAACTTCTTCTGAATAACCAAGAGGCCTAGGATAATGCCAGTAACATGCTGAGATGAAAGACTACCAAGTTCAAATGAATGACCTTGACATATATATTTTATGGTTACAGGGGTCAAATATGTTTAAAACCATTGAATGTTTTTGGCACTTATCACAGTTTGTGTAGGTATGGCAATGGTGAAATCCTCATGCATACATAGTATTGGACACGGATAGGGAATGTAAGAAAGTGTCATCAAGTGCCGCCAACTGTGAGATGGTAACACAGTGTGTAGTGATAAAAACTTCAAGCACAAGGCTGACAATCACGCAAGCAGGTGGGGGGGGGGGGGGCATCAATTTTCATCAACAGAAATTTGGCACCCCACCTAGCTGTGCTGATTGTAAGCAAAGGAGAATGCCAACAAATCACAACTGACACGGAGCTGATTATACATGCCAATCACCAGGAGTGTCCTAACACACAGGTACGTGTGAAATAACACAATATATATATATAGATCTATTGGCCTTGTTAGCATGCATTGATTTTTCTACGTCACCTTAATATTATTACGTTTCGCCCAATCGTTAGCCCTATAAACAGTAAACGCACTGACATATTGTTGAAACTCTTAGGAATATATATATATTTTTTAAATTGTAATTGAATTCAAACATATTGATAATAAATATTAAAACTTGCTCTTCATCGTTTTTTCCTCACAATCTTTACATCAATCTTATGCAGTATTGTTTAATTTCTAAACAAGCAAAAAAAAAAAGATGAAAAAAAGATATTTAAGGAAATATTAATTAGCATAGAGTACTTATAAATCGTTGTTTGATTTCATTTAGATCAAGACCTCTTCACCAAGCAGATCAACCACACTCGATACAACCAGAATTACCACTACACTCAGGAATGAAGAGTTGGAGCAGACCTCTGAAAAGGTGGGAATTTTTTTGTCTAATGTAATTCAGAAGGGAACCATGAACCCCTCAAAACTGAAATTGATCCCTCCATTTTTCTTCTGATTTTTGCATAGAATGATTCCCACTTAATTGTCAAAAAAAAATAAAAATGAAATTATCCATTAATCTAAACCTCCAGAGCTTTTCCTGTATCAATAATTGTCATTATTTTTTTTTTTCAGAAATTGACAACTTTATCAATGATAAAAATATCTTATGCAAACTTGAATATATTGATTAACTAATGGTCTGTATTTTGTTTCAGACTGCAGCTGCTTTTGCATGGGACAAACTAGCATAAAGCTGGCAAATAATTATCATCCTCTTGTGTGAGTATTTAAACCAAAAAATTATATGGGGTGTGGAGTGTTGTTTTCTTTTCGGGGGCATTTTTTTTTCACCATCATCCTCAGAAAATAGGAAAGGGAGAGAGAAATGCTTTAATACATTTTTTTTTCGTCATAACTCCAAGTTAACTGAAGACACACTTTCTATGGATATAATCCACCGTTCAATTTTATTTGAATTTACATTTACAATGAAACTAAAAGTGTGTATATGTATAGATCAATAAAAAAAATGTCGGTAGAACTGATACAAGTTGATATACCAGCATCTCTCAAGCTCATTCGCCTACAGTTCTATTTAATTTTATTTTTTTCCAGCAACTGTCACTGCTTGTATAATGTATTTGGATGTATAGCAGTCATTGGAATGTGTGTGAGAAGACATCAGATGTGTTGTTTAAAGAAGGAAGAAGTGATCTTTGACAGACATGCAATTCATCTTCACAATTTGTAATCCTATTTTAGTTATATTGAACCAATGAAGACGACCACAAAGAAATGCCGACAATGAAAGACATGAACAGCCAAGACGAAACAATATTGCTGCCCCCGTACGACAACTACCAAGGAGAAACAGACGTCCACCAGAAAGATTAACCTACACAAGTTTAAGACATTAGGAATTTTCAAATTGAATGTAACATTAGAAATTGATTAATATGAAAATTTAGAACTGAAGACGCAAAAGAAAAGGAAAAACCATCATATACATCAAAACCTTGTTATACTGCCATCATTTGTTCAGAGAAATTCAGGCATTATAAAGAGTATAAACAATAAACCGAGGGAAATGTAAAGGAAATCTTGTGATAGGTAGAAAAAGAAACATTAAAAATAAGTTGACAGTATATATGTGAGGTAACAAATGATGGTAGTAAACAAGGTCTAACTGTATACTATACTTCTTATAAAAAAAGTTAGTTATCTGAAAATAGAATCAAGTTGGTGCAATATAACTTTATATATATGTGATGATGCAGATGTAGCATTACTCGATAGAAATTTTTTGTTGTTATTACTTAGCTTTTTATTTTATAAAATGTTTTGTAAATTTTGATAGATTAGTTTATGATGGAGACATATTGACAACATTCCAAAAAATGTACAAACAAATAGTACACAATCAAGTTGGTGCAATATAACTTTATACATATGTGATGATGCAGATGCAGCAATACTCGATAGATATTTTTTGTTGTTATTACATAGCTTTTTTATAAAATGTTTTGTAAATTTTGATAGATTAGTTTATGATGAAGACACATTGACAACATTCCAAAAAATGTACAAGCAGATAGTACACAATCAAGTTGGTGCAATATAACTTTATATATATGTGATGATGCAGATGCAGCAATACTCGATAGATATTTTTTGTTGTTATTACATAGCTTTTTTATAAAATGTTTTGTAAGTTTTGATAGATTAGTTTATGATGAAGACGCATTGACAACATTCCAAAAAATGTACAAACAGACAGTATACAATCAAGTTGGTGTAGTATGAATATAAATGACAATTGAAAAGTATGAATGGTTCTTCACTTTTTTTATTTTGATAGTCACAAGATATTGTTACACTTATTTAGAAAAAGGATGATGTCATCGTAATGCAACTATATTGATTTTTAATAAAAAGTTTTTGAATCTGTCAACGTTTTTTTCCATTATTTTGAAAGGAGTTCCATTGTTTACATCTCTTCCACATCAGTTTCTGGATCAAATTCTTCAGTTCCGGCATCGGAAAAAGGACGATGAAATCCGTGCGACCTTAAACTGCTGCTTTCCACGGTATGAGATTCTGCTCTAGAACCAATTTCGTTGTCTGTGTTATTGTTTGCAGCAGCTGGTGTTGATTCCTCGAAGTTGTTCACTAAACGTCTACGTTTGATTGATCCATGCTCTTCCAGCCATGTGATAACTCTCTCGGAGGAGGCGAGTCTATAAATTCAAATATGTAAATAATTTCGTGTTGATGATATCGTTAGTTTATGTTCTATGGCTTATGATATTCATATACACGTCTGAGTCAATAATTTACATATTAAAAATAAATCCAAACTCTTCCATATTAAAAAACAACAAAGAACAACTTACCTTGGCATATCTGTAACAATATTTTTCGAATCGTATTTCAGTTCGAATTGAAATCGCCTTTCCTCATAAACAGCAGAGTCAATATTACATTACAGTGCGAATTGAAATCGTCCTTTCCTCATAAACAGCAGAGTCAATATTACAATCATTAGGGTGCAACAAGAACAAACAAGTTGTAGATCCGACATGGTTCACGGGTGAAAGTTACCAATGGTACTAAATTTAATGTGTAAAAGTATATATCATAATGACGGATAGTAATCAGTTTGCTGTAGGTGTGATCAATATATTAACAGAAAAAAAACGAGACTTCAGATGAGTGTCAGAATTGAGAGAGAAAATATAATGTGTTAATTAAAGGGAAATGATTCCGAATGGCTAGAATAAGGGCTAACACAATGTGGACGGAAAGATCAAAAAGCATCGTTAATCGAACGTATCTGATGACTTCCCACGATCGAGTTCGACGAGCAATTATCATAATCTCAGTTGGATTCATTGGAACATAATTATTATATACATAAGCGACTTTTGAGTATTTTTCCCACGTACAAGAATATGACGGGGAAAAAAAAAGAAGGATCCGAACAGCAGGGATACGGTAGACAATTATCACAATCTGTTAGAATTCTTTTTGAACATCGCTATCATTGTCGAAATTATCAGCATGTATTAGAGATAGATCGAGGCACATTCGTTAATGTTGCATAAGGTTAACTTTTCCTAATAAATAGATATGAAGAACGGTCGTAACACTACATCGATTATCTATTCTGAATTTGTAAATGGCCTTATGATACTAAATTTAATGTGTAAAAGTATATGTCATAATGAC